AATGTTCATTATCTTGTTACTGCAGCAGCTCTGATTCAGATTTAGTTTTTGCCATTTTCAGTGGAATAAAGCGTAAATTGGAAAAAAGAAGCTGGAATGCACAATTTGCCATGTATTTATTTGGTAGGAAGTTATCAAAACAGACTGTTTTCTTATTCCTAAGTTTCCATGAGGTGATGCTATGGAGAATGCGCCACATTCTAAGCTCTGGACACTCAAATGATTTAATTTCCCCAGTTCCCCTCACTATCCTCTGCAGGGCTTTACTTTTGGCCTTATTGCAGCTCGAGCACCACAATCCCAGAGGTGTCCATGAGCTAATGGAGGTCTTTAAATGTCTGAAGCACACAGACCGAACACTGCTTGGTTGCTGCGGATGTGAAAAAAATGTGACACCTCTACCACACACCTGATACAGATGCAGCTTTGACTCAAATCTCCATGGTAACATCACTCTATCTAGTTACACTTCCTGTTTTATTTATTTCAAAGAGCTTTGCAACTTCTTTCCTATGTGGTTAGTTGGACCTTTAATAGAAAAGAGCAAGACGTCTGTGTAAAGGAACTGAAGCTGAGCAGGCTTCATATTTCAGTGTGAGAGTGACAAAGATTAAAAAAATGTGATAAAATTTGAGGCTCCATGAAATCCCCCTCATTCCCTCAGAGTTTTATTTATTAAACGCCAGCGTTTACGACAAGATGGGACATGGCAAAGACGGAGAGATGTGTTACAAACCATTTTCTTTTAGCTGGCAGCCATCATCAGACTCCATCAAAAAGCTCTGACATGTAGGAAGCAGTGAAGGAGGATTCAGGACGTTCAGGAGTCTGCGGCGTTCTCCAGAGCGGCGTCATCCCACTGAAAGAGTTCTGGATGACCTCGTGGTCAAGAATAGCAAAGAATCTCTTCCTGTAGTAGAAAAACTACAGCTTTCGGCAGACAGAAGGAATACTGTTCAGAGGAAACAAGTGATTCCACCACGAATCATTGTCATCATAGTTTTAAATCTGCGAGGAAGTGAGCGTCAACACAGTTCTTCTCTGAAAAACCAACATAAACAAGAAAAACATGAGCAAACCTCCTCTAAAGCAGCTTTGTGTAACAATCCAGAAAACACTGAGCCTATTAACATAAAGTAAAAACCCTGCAAAGCTTTTGTCAATAGAAAAGTAACATTTCACCACTTTGACCAGAGTTTTTATCGGCAGCCTGAATGCTCAGTAGCCAAACAGAAAGAAATTAGATGGTTAGAATTCACACGCATCGTCCTCATAAAGCCACCTAATTCACACCTAAAGAATGAAGTCCTCTGAAAGTGTCTGCCTCCTCACATATTACTCGGATTACCTGTATGTTTGTTTACTGAAGCTCTAGTGTTGCTGAACGTGTCTCATATTAATATGAAGGCCAGCTGCAGGTCGACTCAGTGCGGGAAGCAAATTAAATGTTTTTCCCCTCAAGCGTTTCCTCTGTCACTTCTAGACATATTTTCCTCCTCTGACTCTGCTTCCTGTCTCTTTGTTTACAGGTTTTTCTCTTTCCTTTTCCATCTCCCTCACTCTGGCCTTATCTCTTCTTCCTCCAGTCGTAAGTTTCCCTTCCCTCCCGTTCCATCAATCTCCCCGCTCTCGTCCCTTTGTCCTCTTCCAGTCACATCGCCTCCCTCTTCGCAGCTCTCCCCCTCTCTTTCTTATCACTCTGACACTTAGATTATACAAGTTCTGTGTTACTTCCCTTTGCTCCTCTTCACCATATCTAATCTTTCATGGCACGCTGCCTGCCACCAGGAGACGGGGGGGAATTTCAGTTTCGTCACAAACCTTCACTCCGAGAGCCAAAAAGCGAAGCGGCTTGGGATTTTGAAGCCGTGCCGTAAAATTTAGCTCCCCACCATTAATAGAAGGGGCGTCCAGGAGCAGTCGACAGGTTGTCAGGGGAACCAAATTAGCTGGTGCTGTAAGATATCCAGGTTCTCACCATCGATCTCAATTGATAGGGGGGGTAATTCAGAGGAAAGGTGAAATATCAGGTTAACATGGATCCAAACTTTTTAATGATTTTTAAGCATTTTCTTTAGTTATGCCATACATTTAAAAAAAATCTACTTAAAGAGTAAGAAACAGCAGATTTCATAAGTTTTTAGCTTGATTTCTCTGCTCTTTAATGTGACAGCTTTGGATACCTTCTTCCTTACCCGCCAGACGTCGTCAGGTGTTGGAGATTGTAGAAAGAGTGACTGAAACCTTAAAGAGGCTAACCGCTAGTCAGACAGAACATTTTTATTTTTTTTTAAAGATAATTTCAGCAGTTTAAAACAACCGCTGTAGATGGTTCAGGCCATCGCTCTTACACTTATCTGCAGCTTTATCACTTGAGGCAACAGGTCCAGGGGGTCAAGGCTCTCCAGTTTGTTCAGGGTCTTCTCTGGGTTTTCTCCCAGTGGGATGCACACACAGACCCTCAAATAAAGCCGTCCACCTAAACAGTCCTTTCGATGCGGGGAAGCAGTGGCTCCATTTACCCCCGTCTCTGAGACTGAAGGCTCAGTTCTGATTGACGTCACATTTGGACACAACATCCACAAAACACGTAGAAGTAGAAGCCATAGCTGTTTTTGACATTTTTAAAGTCTCTTTATGTCATCCATCAATGTTTTTCATGATCAGCAGACGGGCCAGGCACTAATTTTATATAATATTGGGTTTGAGGACACACGTCAAGCGTAAACTAAGCTTTAGTCCAGCCACCATCGGCTGGTATCCTGGATCTCATTGGCATGAAACAAAACTTGGCCGGATATACAGCTCTCATTCCCTCCCATCATGAGTGAATGAAATGCCAAGGTACTTAAAGCAATTCTGTCTGAATTTTAGCCACCAGGGGGCGCTTTGTATATAAGTTCAATTCAATTCAGTTTATTTCTATAGCTTCACAACACATGTCATCTCAAGGCACTTTACGGTTCACCAGATCATCCAGTCAGATTGATTCAAAGTTTCTATCTAAGGAAAACCAGTTGATTGCATCGACTCATTCTCTCGAAGGCAATCCCTCACACTAAGCATGCTTGTAGCGTCACATGACTCAGTCAGCGACTCCTCCGAGCCTCTTCAGTAACTTTGGCCGCTTTTAGGCTGAATTTAGCCTGAATTATTCTCAAATTTAACTGATATTTGGTCTACAGTGACCCACAGTTACTTTAAAACTCCTCCAGTTTGAGACCAATTTTCATTGGAGGGAGAGAAAACGTACTTTAAGGAGCAAAACCGAAGTTTCACAGTTTTTCTAAAAGTTTGCCCCCTCTGGTGGCAAGTTGAAATGACACCATGATGTTGTTTGCGTGGATGGAAGAGGAGGAAAACACCCCAGTCTGCTGCTGCTGCAGCTGTGTTGGTGTTTTCTTCACAGGCATAATTTCATCTGTGTTAGCTAGGTTATTAATATTTAAGTTATTTTGATCTTTTTTTAAGCATACAATAGGACCAAATCCTTTCTTTTGTCGAAAGCAACCCTGATATTTATTCTCATCTTATTCCACTGCCAATCAGACTCCAATTTGTCTCTTTTTGTTTTGATTTTCTGAAGTCAGTGATGGGGTTTGATGTGGCTACTCTTTAAAAGTTGTCGGCCATGTTCTTTCTATGGTGACAGATTTCAAAAAGAAGCAAAGATTAACGCGAGCATAGAGCAGGTAACACCCAGAGAATCAGTTTGTCATTAACGGACATGTACGGAAAAGTAAAAAATATATTAGACTTTTAAACTTGCATAATGCCCCTTTAACAACAGTTTCTTTGGTAGCTGCTCACATACTTGACATCCATCTGGTCCATGTTAGGAAATGAGTGCAATTTATTGAAACTTTTTCACTATTATTTTAATAATTTAAAAGTCTGACTCTCTTTAAATTTCAGAATATTAGATCACCTTCTTGTTTTCTCTCGGCGTCTCAAGATGTCCTTCCCTTTAAACCAGCCAGCCATAACCAATTGCATCAAAATCCACTTAAAATGCTTCAAACAGCAGGGAGAGAGATTTGTCAATATTGAGTAAGATCTGGGCCGTTAATTTTAGTCAGACGTCCCCCTCCCCACCAGGCTGCAGCTTGGTATCAAAAGGATTAAGCAGAAACAAAATGCTTTCCATTATTCCAGGTCGTACATCAAGTCGCTGTTTGTCAGCAGTGTCTAATTTGATTTTAATGTGAAATAAATGCTGCCTACATGATGCAAACTGCAGCCGACGTTACAGTGGAATCTAAAGAAGTCGTCCATTTATTGCATGAAACCGATTCACTCAGACAGTCCTAGGTTTGTGTGTGGGATTGACGCGGATGATCCCTGACCAGTTTAAGACCTGCTGAGGGGACAGCAGAACGCCGCATCCTCTCTGTGTCCTGATAATGGCTTTCGATTTCCACCTCCTGCCAACTTTAGGCCCTCTCCTCTTATCTCGTGTCCCAAGGTAGGCCTCCGTAACGCGGCTCCTCTCTGCCGGCAGACAGGAGCTGTGAGGCACAATTGAAAACGGTAGCAGGTGCAGAATCAGTAGAATAGTCCCTAGACGGGTTGTTATTGGTCTGATTAGCGCCCCCTCCCTCCCTGTGGGTTCACTTCAGGCCCATGAGGGACACGTCTTCATGTGATTAGGAGCGCTGACAGCAGAAAGATAAGAAACTGATAACCAGGCTTATTTTTGGTAACTTGCTTCGATTCCACAGCGCTGATCTTCACAGTCGTGATTGTGATAGCGGGTGCCGAGGGGAGGAGGAATCACACGGATTCCCCCTAACTTGGAAAAACCTAAACCCAAAGATCTGCTTTTTTTTATTAGCCGAGTTATCGGCTGCTTTTAACCGTCCCGCCCTGATTGGTTCCATTAGAAATGAGATCAAATAATCTTGTCCACCGTTTGAAGCAAACTAGTTAATCGTTCACGCCTCATTATGCAAATGATGTCAGATGTGCTGATTCGTCTCCTACGTTCTGTTTTGTTGCAGGAGTTCTTTGAGAATCCGGCGTTCCGGCCCGACGGTCTGAAGCTCTACCCGACGCTGGTGATCCGAGGCACGGGTCTGTATGAGCTGTGGAAGACGGGCCGCTACAAGAGCTACACGCCCAGCGCCCTGGTGGACCTGGTGGCCCGCATCCTGGCCCTGGTGCCGCCCTGGACACGAGTGTACCGGGTTCAGAGGTGAAAGGCTGCAGCATCTAAACTCTCAGTGAAGGACTCTGAGGATGGGAATGTTTTGGAGTTTTCCAGCAGCCAGTGAATCTAAAAACATAGAATATTGAGATATAATTTTGCCGTTTATTTTCGAAAGCGATTAATCCTCATAATTTTTCCTTGGAAGTTTAATTATTGTAGCTCACAGATAAAGAAAACCAAAATTCAGTAGAATAATTATTAGAAACTCAGTGGCGCCCTGATCAGCCTTTAAAGTCTCAACAGGGGAAGCTGCTGACTGCACAGACAGAGGGTAAGCCATGCTGGAGGAGCTGCCTGCTCTGTTTTCAGGCATATTAACAGAAAATTAAGTGGAAGGAAGAAGTGTGGTGGAAGAAAGTGCACCAACATCAGGGAGGGAGAAACGCAGCCTTGAGAGGATAATAAAGTGAAATCCATCGAAGAATTTGGAGGACAGAAGTTCCCACAGTCAGTGATGGTTTGAGGTGTCATGTTATCTGTTTTTTTCTCAGGTCTGCAGTCGATGCGTCTGTCTACCATAACATTCTACAGCACTTCATGCTTGCGGAGCATTGATGCAGTTATTCATCAAAGACTTCTGACATTTCTTAAGATTGATCTGAACTAATATTCAGATTTTTTGATTATTTACCTGTGAGCCATAATCATTAAAAACTGCAATAAATAAAAACTTGACATATTTTGCTAAGTGTATAAAAAATTCTGAAATGATTGGCAGAAAAGCATGAACTTTGCAGCCATTCTTGCAGTTTTGAGATATCTCTATAAGGAAAGCTAACCAGAGGGTGTTCTGGTCAGATGAGATCTAAACCCAACTAATGCAAACCACTTCCCCTGAACTCATCGCCCCCACAGCAGGTCCTACTGTTTCTGTCTTCAGCTCAGACTGATCAGTCTTTTAGGAAACTAAATGAATACTGGAAGAAAAAACCTGCTAGGAGCCAATAAAGACGGAGGAAGAAGGGTATTCCTAAACATGCAGAGCTAAGTGGAGTCATGAGTTAGAATGGCCTAGTCAAAGCACAGAGCTTCACTGGAGTGAGAATCTTTGTCTTTAGAGTTAAAAAAGTAAACTGGTAGACATAAATTTGACAGATGTGAGTTTGTTCATCATGTTTAATACTTTGATTTTAAAAGGACGAAAGAGGAAAAGTTAAAGTTAAGTTCCTCTTTCAGTGAGATAGTAAAAAGGGCACAATAGTGAGAATCGTCCTTCTAATTATGCTCTTTGTGTATGTTTTGCCGCTCCATCCCCTCCCGCCCATCAGGGACATCCCCATGCCGCTGGTGAGCTCCGGCGTGGAGCACGGCAACCTGAGGGAGCTGGCGCTGGCTCGGATGAAGGACATGGGCACCGAGGTGAGACTCAGAGCTGTTCTTGGCTGTAGCCTTAGAGATTGGACGCCGGCTCATATGGAGCTAATAGGCTTTTCCAGCTGGGCCGCCATCCGTGAAAGGTTCCAGCAGACAAGTCGCTTTCATTCATGATGGGGGTGAGATGACGGATTCAAACAGCCTCTGGGGTTCAGGAGGGGACCCCGCCCCTCCTCCTCGTCTAGAAGTAGATCAGAGCTTCAGTGACAGGAGGCAGGAAACCCCTCAGCTTCCATCAGAAACCATCCTCAGATAAAAGCGCTCTGCTAAAAAAAGGAACATGGTGGCAGAGACGTCTTTAACGGCCGGCTTCATTTAAATACCGAGCGGCAGAAACGGCGTTTGCAGCGTGTAAATCTAGAAGCCTGGTGCGACTCAGAGAGGAAACTATCCTGACCTAATTTCCTCCTCCCTCTTTCTGCTCCTTCTCTCAGCTTTTATGTCTGCATATCTGTTTCCATCCAGGCAGAGACGAAACTTCTCCAACTTAGTAGTTTCCTCTTATTTTTCTCCTCTCTACCTGTCCTTGAACCTGTTATGGTCCGTAAGATTTCATACCTGGACGGCGAGGATGGGGTTGTCATGGTAACAGCAGACACTTTCAGTTTGATCCATAAATCCCTGTTTAGCATCACACCAGGATCCCTTCACCTCTGGTTATAATGGATGTCAGGAAGTCCTGGTGTTCATCCTCTCCTTTCCATTAGAGCGCTGCTGATTGCAGTTTTCATCCTAAATCTGAGAATAAGACCTACTGTCAGTTTGACGCTGTATGTTTATAAACCGAATATGGGAATTATTTTAATAAGGGTTATGACTGTGGCGGCTTGCTGAGTCCAAAGTGACGTTTCTTGGTTCCCTGTGCGCAGTGTCGAGACGTTCGGACCCGAGAAGTCGGCATTCAGGAGATTCACCACAAAGTCCGGCCTTACCAGGTAAAATCCCCTCAGAGGCCGAAGCCGTCAGATGGCGGCCCAGAACCAGCACCAATACCAGTTCCTACCCGTCTGTACAGGTGGAGCTGGTGAGGAGGGACTACGTGGCTAACGGCGGCTGGGAGACCTTCCTGTCCTATGAAGATCCGGAGCAGGACATCCTCATTGGCCTGCTGCGTCTGCGCCGCTGCTCTCCTCAGTCTTTTCGTCCGGAGCTGAAAGGAGGGGTGTCCATCGTCCGCGAGCTGCACGTCTACGGCAGCGTGGTCCCAGTCAGCAGCAGAGACCCCAGCAAGTTCCAGCATCAGGTGACAAGGCGCACACGCCTGAGGGAGCGGGCGGCGAACCAAAGGAGGCGTTTTTAATGAGCACTGCTGCCTCTCCTCTGCAGGGCTTCGGTATGATGCTGATGGAGGAGGCGGAGAGAATCGCCAGGGAGGAACACAGCTCAGAGAAACTGGCCGTCATCTCTGGTAAGACTGAGCGATCGCATACAGCCGCTATCGGCCTCACTTTGGTTTTCTACCCAACTTTAGTCGTTTTTATCAATAAGTAGCTGAAAAAGTTTGAACTCATTGTGGATTTTCATCTTATTGGATGATCTGAATTCTGAACACAAACTGAACCATATTCCTACATCCAGACTGTTATTTGGTGAAAATCCTCCTCATCATCACATTGACAGACATTCATAAGGTTCAGGTGTAGTTCTGGCTGGATATTCCACCATTCCTCTTTAAAATCTTCCAGTTCATCCAAACTTCGGTTCTGATTTTAAAGACACATTTATTAACAAATTAGCTTTTTATTGCCAAAAATCAATTATTCATTTAATAAATGAAAATCTGTAAAAGGGTAATAATATCACATTCAAAGTGAAAGCATTCTCAGAGCTTATATTTAGTAATTAATAAACATATAGGGGGCGGTGCACCCAGCGGGAGACGACCTGCTGTGTCGCCATTTTTGATCCAAAGATCCCACTTTGTCAGCTTTACACATTTGACCAGTATCTGAAAATGTGTTGTTTGTTTGAGGAGGAGTTTAAAATAAGCAAACAACAAACATAGATTCTTCTTCCTTCCACTTCCTGTTGCAGCGGAGGACCGTTTCTACTATTAGTCCAGTCAGAGGCAAGAGAAACAAACCCAAAAAAGAAAATTACGTAATAACCAGGAGAAAACCGGAGGCTACATCGACGCCGCTTCTATCAGGTGGAGACAGTTTGAGGGGGCGGGGCTTAAAAACGACAAAAGTTTATTTTTTGATTTATTTCAGAAACAGAGCAGTTTAGTCCAGCAACTAGTCTGTCCCCAATAGAGTTCGCTAGTTTGTATGTTAGCCTTCAATGAACGAGCTTCACTGAGTAGCAGTTATCAGCTGAAATTCACCCCAGCAGACCAGCGTACGCCTCTTTCAGCTGTTTCCATGGAGATTTTCCAAGTGTTAAATCCTTTATTTTAGCTCATATCTCGAGGGCATTGTTCTCTCCAGTGTATTTCAGAGCTGCAGGTGGCTATGTTCATATATGTCCCTGCTATGCTTCTTAAATCTGAAATCCGGCCTCCTTTCTCGGGGCCTCTGTCCAGTGAATTTCAGCACAAACGCTGGTGACACTGAAAGCTGTTAAAATTGCACTAAACTCAGGTCGAAACACTGACTGTTAATGAGAGCAGCGGCTGCAGAAACTGTTTTTTAAACACATTTACCTTCTTATTTGCACATAAACATGGGAAAACCTGAACCCTGTGCTATTCAGCCTGTCAAAGAATGTAGGCGTAGAGAAATATTTAATCAATTTTATTGTTAATTTAAGCTGATTTGACAAATAAGAATGTCCTCCGTAGTAGATCTAACAATTATCCTTCATTTAGTTCACCACTAGATGGGGGTAAATCTCACACAGTGCCCCTTTAAGCTGAGCACTGAACCAGTAGGATTAAAGTCTGGGTTCATTTAACAGTATCACAGGCCCACAGCATGATGCTGCCACCATCATCTTAGACGCTGTGGAAAAACACCTCAAGCTGCTTCTATTCCACCATTAAACCGTGGAAGAAGTTCTGCAGTGTTTAAAGGGACTGATGTTGATATTTCATGGTCCATTTAAACAATTTTAGTTTCTGAACCCTGATCGATTTCCTTTGATCAAGGAGAAAAGTGATCAACGCTGCTAAAACTGAAATATAAGGAAGTATTTTTTTCTTAAATAATATGAGTAGGTAAGACAATCTCTCATTGGAATGAGACGATTTAAAACAAGAAAAAAATCTAATCTCAAGCGCTAATTTCAAGCGCTAAATGTCTAATGAACTTGTTTTCCTTTTAAGGGTTTGTCTCTCACACTTCATGATGTTGTATTCCAGTGATGTTTTACCTCCATGGTTCCTCTGCAGGTGTAGGAACCAGGAACTACTACAGGAAGATGGGCTATGAGCTGGAGGGGCCCTATATGACCAAGCAGCTCTACAGTGCAGGACTGGACTGAACTCACACCTGCTTCTTTTTATCTGGAAGATCCAAACCGAACCACAAACACACCTGTTATTTTTTTTTTTTCTGTTAATACAGTTCCTGCCGTTATTTTTTAGAGAAACTTTCAGTGTGGAAGGAGATAATGCTGGGCTTTTTTCCAGAGGCCGTCCATCTGCTATTATCTGGAGCTGCTGCATTGGCTCTGCTTTATTTAGATAAGCAGGCGTGCGAAGCGGGGCTATTTGGGACGACGTCAGCGCCATCCGATGTGGAATCTGACGTTTCAACACCTGAGGACCCCCGACACGCCTCTGCGGTTGAACTAACTCTCATGTAAAAACTATAGAGGGAGCTGGGGTTGAACGTTGCATGTTTGTACTGGTTTAGCGTCACGCTTTGAGTTAAGCATGTTTATGTTGCAATCATTTGAAAGCAAACGCGCAGCGCTCCTCAATGCTCGGCCGCCAACGGGGGGAATCCTCACCAGGGAGCTGCTGGGTAATTGAAAGATTTGAAATGATGAGGCAGGAAAGGAGTCTTAGGGTTACATAAACAGCTTTTATTAAATCTTGTTTTGTCTAAAACACATTCTAGGAATATCATAGCAACTTTTTTTAAAGAATAAAGTATTTTTCAGGCTATCTTGTTACACTGCCTTTTATTTCTGCTGCTGTAAAGGTGGAATGCTGAAGGTGGTTTCTGTAAATATTCATGGGTTCCCGGGCCCTTTTCACCTGGAGCATTGGATCCAGGCTTTTCCAGTTCCGTCTCCATCAGCTGCTGAGCGTTAACTCAGAGCTGCTGTTTCCAGAAAAGATTCATCATCAGAAAATCTGCCTCAGATAAAAGTTGAAAAGCCTGGTTTGGATTCCAGCTGCTAAACAGTGGATGAAGCTGAACGGACACGCCTAATCGCCCCCCATGCTGCTGATGCTGTCCGTGTTGCAGTAGTGACGCAGTGAGGAATTGGCTGCCCCCCCTCCATGAGCTGATGTGTGGTTTCAGCAGAGTTCGCCGTAGGCGTCACTGCAGCGAGAGCACAGACGTGAAGAGGTCTCCTAAATCTGCTGAGCTGAAGGTTACCGGCTTTATCTGCAGAGATGCAACGTTAGGAAGCCTTACCCACACAAAGATTCCACTCTAATGCTAGAAACACATTAGTTCACTTCTTTCTATGGAATCCTTGCTGGAGGTGGAGAATAAAGACGACTGTTTGTCAGAAGAAGTTAACTTTTTCTACCATCTTTGATGAATAATCGGTGTGATCCAAAGCTTAGGTGGGAGAATCCATCGACAGGATTAGTTGAACGTCATCAGAAAGATGGAAAAAAATGTTAAAAATAAGTTATATTAGCGTTTTTCACATGTGAGAAAATTATCAGGACTTTTCCAAACATTGTAGTTTTATTTAGGATTCATACATCATTTTACTTTTAACCTAAAACCAAAATTTCACAGCGAATCTTAAAAACTACCATGCAGAGATGATTTTTAAAGTCATGATTTGATCCCTGAAGGCCAAAAATACATGATGGTGTAAATTAATAAGACAGTACCATGAAATAGATACATAAACCATGAAATGAGTAGATGTGAGTTTATTTCATTCATGGTTCAAATATTACACGTACCATTCAATTATAAAATGCACAGTTAAAAGCACTAATAAATAATCAAACCTACATTTAAAATAAATTAAATGTCACAAAAAATCTGTCTAATTGGTTCACTCTATATTCATGAAGAGTTATAGACAGAAATAACTAGATTTTAAAAATTTTTTACACTAACTCCAGACTTGGTGGTTCATGACCCCCACTTTTATGGTCCCTGATCTAGCACAGAGCCTGGCCCTCTGTGGGATTAAAGTCGGGTTTTACTGCCGGACAGTCGGTAACGTTTACTTTGGTTGGAGGTAGATCTTCACCTGGAGTGACGGATGAAAACGACTCCAACCAAGTTTTGCTGCTAATGCTGGAAGTTTTACTTGAAATTCCAATTGAATGAGTCCGATGCACTGCAGCGTCCCCACAGCATCATGCTCCCACCGCCGTGTTTTATCATGGGGACGTCCACTAACGTTTTCCAGGTTGTCATTAGCGAACTTTATCTTTTTGTTCAATGCTTTAATTGTTCTGACCTGCATCTTCTGTCCGTTGCTGCATTATTGATGCTGCTATTTCTGACCTGGCTCAGTCATTAGCTATTGCCGTGGCAGTCATTTTATTTCAGCACTTTTATTATCTATGACCTTTTATTTTAGCTTAAGGCAAATATAAATGATTTGCATGTTAATAAATTATTTTGCATTTAATAGTTCTATGAGAAGCAGAATTTGATGTATTTATTCTCTTCCAAATGAGGCATTCTTACATTTTTTGTGACATTTTAATCAAATTTTTAACTATATTTCATAACCAACAATTTAACTAGTCCCACCAAACAGAACCATGATGGAAACCAGTGACTCCATCAGGCTGTTGCGTCTGTCCACCCCTTTGTTTTTGCTCAATGGTTTGGTCCTATATGCTCACATTGAAGCGATCAAAGGGCCGCCAGGACGCCAGTCAAAATAAAGGCTCTGCTACCAGTAGCTGTAATAACCTTTGTTTATCCTGCTTTTTGAGCATCAACAAGTCATCTGATACTTCCTCGATCACAGCTGGTTGCACGGCTCAAACCCTGAGCACCACCCTCTGTTTTTACTTGATTACAGGCTGGGAGCATTGCAGAGTCAAAGCAGGTGATTGGATAGAACTGGTTTGTGCTGTGGCTCAATAATGTAGTTATTTACTTTCTATCTATAAGAGGGGTCTTAAATGTTTTCCAGGCCAAGGACCCCAAAACTGACGGTGAGATGGAGCTGGGACCCCCTAATTTTTTATGTATCATAAAATTGTGTTATATCAAACTGGTCCTATAGTCACTCTATTACAGATGGAGTAATGTAATGAAAGTAATTTCTCCCTGGAATAATTAAAGGATTTCTGGTTGATGGGACAGGTGTTGTGAATGAAACGGTGCCCAGCTTGAAAGAGCTCCTGTGTGTCGCTGAATGTGTGCATTGATGACTGAAAGACATCTTCTGCCTCCATTTATCTGTTTACTACAGTGTGTTGAATTCATGTTAATGTAGATTTAAAGACATAGTGGAAAGAAAAGTCTTATCAAGCAAAACTTTCGCGACCCCAATGCAGCACCTCTGTGGACCCCTTAGGGGTTGCGGACCCCCTGTTGAAGACCTCTGTTTGGAAAAGCTGTTAAAAGTTTGTTGCTAATAGTTTTTTCCTCGAAGCACAGTAGTGGCATCATAATGCTATGGGAGTGCTTTTCTTCAGCAGCTGGTAGTCGATGTTAAGATGAGCAGAAGGTAACCTTCCAACAGAGGGGTTCAGATCAGAGCGTGTTTGGAGAGGGTCCAGGTCCAAATCTAAATCTGATGGAAATAAGTGAATATCAGATGCTCTGCATCCAACCAGCCTCAGTCTGAGGTGTTTGGGTTAGAAGAGCAGGGAGCTCTAGATGTATAGAGCTGGAAGATAAACCCAGTATTTACCTCTTAGAGCTGGCAGCATGGAGCAAAATACTAACTCAGCCAATATGTTTAATATTTAGCAGTTAAAAAAGAGAAATGCACTGGAAAAAAATCTAAATCTAGTCTTTTTTTTTTAAACTAAGTGCTTTTGTTCTTGGATTGATGAGATAAAAGAGACATTTTGCCAATGGAACAAGACAATTGCATTGTCTTATTTCAAGCATATTATCTAATTATCTTAATTTAAAAGTAAAAACACTCATTCCTTTGGCAAATTCATCTAATTTACCTACTCAAATTAAGGATAAATACACTTAATTTAATACATTTTTACTTCTTTCTAGATGGCTTTTCCAGTGTGGAAACCATTCATCATCCTCTCCTCCACTTTAGGAGTTAGAAATTATTCCTGCTGGTCCTATTTCTAACCGCCACAATTCAGCAGCTAACAAATCAGTCAGCTCTATAAAAATCTGTCACATTTTTAGTGGACATTAATAATTGATTAAACAATTATTTCACTCTCAATAATCTATCTGGGCTTGAATTTGTTTCCCCTGTTAGCCTGACTTAGCAAAGTCAGCAGAGGGTCTAACTTTGCTCTTCTCAAGGTTATTGGTCTAAAGAGGAATCTGGATGTCAACCAATTAGATACTAACAGATACTTCACCTCCCTGCATCTCAGATGCACAGCGTTTACACCCTGGACCGTATCATCAAAGAGGAGGAGGAGCTTCAGCATCCATGTCAACATCATTTCCTCTGCGTTTCATTTTAACTGAAAAAAACTTTGCCTCGGCTACACTTCTTTAATCTACATCACAACTGCAAACCAGTCCGTGATTGGTTGCTGTAATGGAATTTCATAAAAAAGTTGAGATTTTAAAGTTCAGTGGTGACCCTCCCTCCCCGCTCTCTCCAGGTGCTGCTGTTGGACAGCATCTCAGTTCTATCTAGTAGCAGGAGGTGAGAGCAGAGGAAAATAGGAACTTCAACAATAGGATTGTTGTCTGGAGACTGGCTAGGCCGCTCCGTAGACTGGCTAGGCCGCTCCGGAGACTGGCTAGGCCGCTCCGGAGACTGGCTAGGCCGCTCCAGGACCTTGAAATGCTTTTAACTGAGCCTCTCTTTCATTGCCTGACCGCTGTGTTTGGGATCCTTGTCCTCAGCCATGTTCCATGTTCAATGCTCTCACTGATGAAGGAGGTTTGGGCTTAAAATGTCACCATACATGGCCCTGTTCATTCTTCCCTCAACACAGATCTGTCCACTTTGCAGAAAAAAGCCCCAAAGCATGATGCTTCCACCCCCATGCTTCATAGTAGTTATAATGAAGCTCGGTCTTCTTTCTCCAAATGTTGACGAGTCTATGCAATAAAGTTCTATCTTGGTCCCATCTGACCGCGTAATGCTCTCCCAGTCCTCTTCTGATCATCCATCTGCTCTCTGGTGAACTTCAGGTGGGCCTGGACCTGTACTGGTCAAGCAGGGAGACACCTGGCTCTGCAGGACTACAGTCCTCGGGTCGTAGGGTGTTACTGATGGTAGCCTTTGTTCCTTTGGTTCCTGCTCTCTGGAGCTCATTCATCAAGATCATTTTGACCCCACAGGAGATCTTTTATGTGGTCCCAGATGGAGGGAGATTATCAGTAGTGTTATTTTCCATTCTCTTCCACCGTTGATTTCTTCACACCAGCCTGTTTCCTATTGTAGACCCTCCTCTTTTAACTTTTATCTCTTTTAGATCAGTTTTTACTGTGTAAAACCAAATACGTTTTTTTAGGATATAAACAAACAGAAGAGACTGAAACTGGTTTCTCCCTTGGAACTATCAATTTTACCTTTAATATTTTATCTGGAACCACAAATGGTTTCTGGGGTGTATATTCTATTTAAAATATATTTTGATAAAAAGAATTTGTAGTTATGACCTTTGAACATTTTTTCCAAATATTTGTGGATCAGTATATTTCATTTGGAGGAAAACAGGTAAGATAGTAACTGGTCAGACTGTCCCATTAGTAACCCAAATAAATAAAACCCTTAAGTTTAAAAGTTTCACCAGAAGTGAAAGTTTGCACTTTCATAAGTAGGTCCACAACACCAGGAGGGCTTCACACTACAATCTCTCTCTGTCCAGCTGTAGATTGATGCCTTCCTAATGAAATTTCAATTTTGAGTAATGGGGCATAAGAGCCTTTTGGCAAGTACAGATTAGTCAAATTAAGTTGGCGCGTCCTACAGACGCTCGGTTTAGCTCTGCATTCCCCTCTAATGCGATTCCTCCAAGCAGCTAGGGGAAGAAAACCTTTTGAATTGCGATGTTGCCAAAAATACTGAGATACCTGAAATCCAGGAAAGCATGCCATCAAGCAGTGTAGATACAAAATAATGAGGACGTCTGCAGAGATTATATTTTATTTAAATAGATTCCATTTAAAAAGACATTTCTGACAATTGATCCAGGTTTTGCAAAAAAAAAAAAAAGACATTTCTCTAGAGTGAAGGACTGAGACTGATGACCTGTAATAAATGCAGGATTGATCGGATCAGGAACAAGCTTGAAGCCCTGCTTTAATTTCCTGTTCATAGGAGGACAGTTTATCAATACATCACTGCGCTTCATACTAGCTGCTCTGACTTTAACACACAAAATACCCACACTGTACTAGAAAGAGACCACTTTAAAACCTTTCATACAAATTGCGAAAAAACAAAATTACAATTCAAAAAAGCAAATACAAACATTTGTGTGGTCATATAAAATGTAAGCACCTACAAAAAAATACTTTTATTTTTAATTTACAGGGGAGATTGAACCACTGAGCCTTTTTTTCCATTCCTAAATTGACCCTGAAATTGAAAAAAAAAAATATAGATTCCAATTTTAAACACATAAAAGAATTTAAATTCTTTCAAGGACCAGAAACTAAAGTTTAAAATTCATATTTCATTTAAATAAATTGATTAAAAAGAATTATGTGAATCTCATTTAAATACGGAAGGCCAAAGGTGCCACCATCAAATACTTTTAATAAAGTATATGATTAATTAACGGTAGCTCTTCAAATAAACATATAATACGGAGAAATAAATCACTTTCAGATCTTAGATCTTTTCTTTATGATCAGAATTTTTATTTACAACTGACTGGTCTGTAGTTTAGCTGCCATGTTTTAAAGATAAGCACCTTTTTTGTATGAATATCAAGGAAATAAACGATCAAAAGCAAAGTCATGCTGCAATAATAAAGAATTTAATATATAATCTCTCCGCCCATTCATACTTCAGATGTTAACCAACAACTTTAAATGGACTTCTTTTGAACTGGAGCAAAAATATTAATTAAATGATGAATGTATTTACAAGATTTTTTTTGTACCCTTGTGAGGAAAAAGGAATGGCTGATTAAGGTTGCTGCTTCTCCCTTTTTAGCAAGGTGATTTTTTTGCTAAATCTGCCTCCACAACATGCCTAGCTTATTTACACTTTTAAAAGTTAAAGACATTCCTGCAAAGCAGATCTTTAAAAGACAAAAAGCCCAGAGGATGCTACGTGCAGGAGCTCTGGAACAACAAGTAAAAAAACAGATCAGAACATTTCTGACACTGGTTTGTTTATTTTTAGCGGGGGAAACATTTGCTGCAGCGGAAGAATGAAATGAAGACCCAGAATGAAGTGGAGAACTAACAGACCCCGCTTCTAGCTAAAGATGAGCAGCATCTGTTTATCTCAATACAGCACTACATAAACAGATGAAAATGGCCTCCATTTAAACATGGAAGCAACAGCATAGTGCTGAAATGTAATATTAAGTCCCATTTACGCTCTCTGTGGAGAGGCTGAAGCACCACTGCATTTAAAAGGTGCTTTTTACTAAAGAATCAGAGCACTTTTAACAAAATTGATCAATTTTCCCTTAATTCTGGCCCTGGACGCTGGCAGCCACCCGTAATCACATTGATATGCATTTAGTTTGGCCTTTTCCCTGAGGCCAAAAGCAGGCTGTAGAGGAGCTGCAGTGGGAAAACAGCAGTTACTTTCATTGTGGTTTTAGTGGTCAGAGCCATTAGAGTCTGCGCCGTCCATCAGTGGGAGTCCTGTTTCAAAGCAGAGAGCACTCTGGCCTCCAGCTGCTCCGCCGAGGGCCGAGCGTCCGGGTTCAAGGCGAGCATGTCTAAAAGCAGGGAGCACATGGCCAGGCCGGGAGGCGGCGGCAGCGGGGGGGGCCCTCTTAAACTTCATAGGAACGCACAGCTGCAGGTCAGCGTTCTCCCACAGAGCTTCACCCAGAGGCATCAGCCAGCGACCCCTGCACACGTAGGCACCTGGATGGCGACAAGCAGATCCAGGTTAGTCATTGCAGACGCAGCGGTGAGAAGACTGAGCTCTGGGTCACAAACATACAGCGCATTTATCAGCAGCGATCTGGAGAACTAACCAGTGTTTACCATACACCATGGCTGCAGTTCGTTACCAAGTACAAAGCATCAGACTAAGCTTTTTCATTAGATTTGGGTGTATATATACAGGTGCTGGTCATAAAATTAGAATATCATGAAAAAGTAGATTGATTTCAGTAATTCCATTTAAAAAGTGAAACTTGTATATTATATTCATACATTACATACAAACTCATATATTTCAGATGTTTATTTTGTTTAATTTTGATGATTACAAATGACAACAAATGAAAATCTCAAATTCATCATATCAGAAAATTAGAATATTGTGAAAAGGTTCAAAATTGATGGCCCCTGGTGCCACACTCTAATCAGCTAATTAACTCAAACCACCTGCAAAAGCCTTTAAATGGTCTTTCAGTCTAGTTCTATAGGCTACACAATCATGGGGAAGACTGCTGACTTGACAGTTGTCCAAAAGACGACCATCGACACCTTGCACAAGGAGGGCAAGACACAAAAGGTCATCGCTAAAGAGGCTGGCTGTTCACAGAGCTCAGTGTCCAAGCACATTAATAGAGAGGCGAAGGGAAGGAAAAGATGTGGTGGAAAAAAGTGTACAAGCAAGAGAGATAACCGCACCCTGGAGAGGATTGTGAAACAAAACCCATTCAAAAATGTGGGGGAGATTCACAAAGAGTGGACTGCAGCTGGAGTGAGTGCTTCAAGAACCACCACACACAGACGTATGAAAGACATGGGTTTCTGCTGTCGCATTCCTTGTGTCAAGCCACTCTTGAACCACAGACAGCGTCAGAAGCGTCTTGCCTGGGCTAAAGAGAAACAGGACTGGACTGCTGGTGAGTGGTCCAAAGTCATGTTCTCTGATGAAAGTAAATTTTGCATTTCCTTTGGAAATCAAGGTCCCAGAGTCTGGAGGAAAAGAAGAGAGGCACTTCATCCACGTTGCTTGAAGTCCAGTGTAAAGTTTCCACAGTCAGTGATGGTTTGGGGTGCCATGTCATCTGCTGGTGTTGGTCCATTGTGTTTTCTGAGGTCCAGGGTCAACGCAGCCACATACCAGGAAGTTTTAGAGCACTTCATGCTTCCTGCAGCTGACCAACTTTTTGGAGATGCAGATTTCATTTTCCAACAGGACTTGGCACCTGCACACAGTGCCAAAGCTACCAGTACCTGGTTGAAGGACCATGGTATCCCTGTTCTTAATTGGCCAGCAAACTCTCCTGACCTTAACCCCATAGAAAATCTATGGGGTATTGTGAAGAAGAAGATGCAATACACCAGACCCAACAATTCAGAAGAGCTAAAAGCCACTATTAGAGCAACCTGGGCTATCATAACACCTGAGCAGTGCCACAGACTGATCGACTCCATGCCACGCCGCATTGCTGCAGTAATACAGGCCAAAGGAGGCCCAACTAAATACTGAGTGCTGTACATGCTCATACTTTTCATGTTCATACTTTTCAGTTGGCCAACATTTCTATAAATCCTTTGTTTTTATTGGTCTTCAGTAATATTCTAATTTTCTGATATGATGAATTTGAGATTTTCATTTGTTGTCATTTGTAATCATCAAAATTAAACAAAATAAACATCTGAAATATATGAGTTTGTATGTAATGTATGAATATAATATACAAGTTTCACTTTTTAAATGGAATTACTGAAATCAATCTACTTTTTCATGATATTCTAATTTTATGACCAGCACCTGTATATATATACGTATATATATCACTCCATTAAAGAACATTTTAGGTTTGTATCCTGCAGGTTATAGTTTCATTTATATGTTACTGTTTATTTTGAACTACTGTAGAGAGCATCTGCCTTCTCATTTACATCCAGACGGACAAATACAATATTATCCTCTTCTACACACACATCAGGTCCTTAGTAAAAAATAAAATCTGACCATTCTGATTATCTTTACTAGCAGCGTCCACAAACTGTTTAGAAGTCTTCAGCTGATACAAAATGCTGCAGCCAGAGTTCTGAAGAAAATAAAAAATAGAGATCATATCTCTCCTATCCTGGCTTCTCTTCATTGGCTTCCTGTTAAATCCAGAATAGAATTTAAAATCCTCCTTCTAACATATAAAGCTCTAAATAACCAAGGACCATACTTATCAGAGATCTGGTTGTTCACCATTTCATCAGGTTCCTCTCCTGTGGAACCAACTACCAGTTTTAGTCCGTGAGCTGACAACAAATCACTAAACTAACAAACAAATCTATTTTTTTTTTCTTAAGAATTAAAAACAGAGAAATGATAAAGATGAATGGATTTTGATGACTTTAAGACTTTATAGGAAGCCTGTCCAGTTCTGGATTAAGTGCAAAGGGGAAAAAAACAACAACAGAAAACTATAATCCAGGAAAAGACGTCACAAACCTCAGCATGTTTAATGCTAAAGGTCAGGGAAGTAACAAAAAAAAAAAAACTGAGCGGGGGGGGGGGTGGGGTGGGGGGGGTGGGGGGGGAGCTTCATACATCGTTTCTATTCTCTGAAAACTATTGTTAGAGCATTTGTCAGACAGAAAAAATGGTGTTCAATTATCTGCAACATCAGAAATCCAAAACATTTCTTCTGGCTGAAGCAGAGTTATTTGTCAATATCCAATCTTATATGATCTTGTTCTTCCAGAAATCAATGAGCCTCATTCCACAGTTAAGTCAATATGATTCAGTCGCTTCACTGTGATCACATCTGATCCATACAGAGCAGGCAGCTCTGATGAGGGTCACAGCCTGGGCCTCGGGTGGCCTGGTGGACGATCCGGGGTGGTGATGGTCTCCACTTCAGGCTCAAAGAGCTTTACTTTACAAGCTTCAGCTGCTTCCTTTATAAGAATCTAACTATTCGTTGTTTTCTATTTTTTGTCTCATAAAGGCTATACATCTACATTGTAGAGTAAAGCATCAAACCCCTTAATCTCTTCCTGATTTTATCACCACAAAACCTTGGAAGGTTACAGGAGAAAAAATAGGATATTTTTGGTTGTTTTTTATTAAAAAAGCTCAAGCTCTGCATTTTAAAGAGCTCAGTTTAAATAATCCAAACATGGAAAGCTAAAAAAAAAAGACTAAATTAATTCATTTAAATTTGTATATTTATATAGAGCCAAGTCACAACATGTTATGGCAAGGCACTCTGGAGACAATATTGTCAAATGAATGAATTAAAATACTAAATGTTTGCAAAACGTTTAAAAACAACCATTTTCCTTTCCTTTATAGTTGTGTTAACATACATCACCAACGGCAAAATGTAAAGATAGAAAAATCAAATGGTGTGAACTACTTTTGATAACACACAGTGAGAAGTTGGGTAAAACCACTTTTAAAATCTTTTTTTTTTTATCATAAACTAAAGTAAACTTCTTGTTCTGAGCTGCAGATAAGATAAAGACTTTAATAACCTGAACTGCTCATTTGTCATAGCTGTGGAGTTATCAGGACGATGTGATTAAACGGGAAAAATCTCTAGATTAATGGAGATTAAAAAAAGACTTGCACAGGATCTCTAAAATGTGTCAACTTTTAAAATAAAAGTTGATTATCCAGGAGGGTAATTAAAGCATGGACTGGGACGTAGTATTATCATTCCTGGGCTGTTATACTTAGTGGTTACCATTTAATCACCAGGAACCAAACCTGTCCTGGACTCTAGCTGTGAAGTGTTTGCTTGTGGTTCTTTGTGTCGGATTATTAGATATTTTAACAAAGCGACAAAACCTCACAGTTTCTCTGAGGTTTCTAAACAGGTTTTCCACTAACCTCGTGAGACCATCCTGATCTTGCAAGCTTTCAAGGTTTCACTCGCAGATCAGTCTGGAGACTCTCCGTTAAAGAAAATTTGGAGCCGTTCACCAAACGAACGTCCAATCAGCGTTGGCTTTGAGGCGGGTTGAGGTGTGACGCAACGAGAAGCGCGACAGTTCAGTCTAAAGAACATGGCGGCTTCAGCCGATGAAACTGGCGTTAGCATGGCTATCGAGCAAGTTTTATCGGAATTACAGAGTATTTCTTCACTGAAAGAAGAGCAAAACACTGCTCTGGGGGCTTTTCTCAGAGGAAAAGATGTTTTTGCTCTTCTCCCGACTGGTTTCGGCAAGAGTTTGATCTATCAATTGGCTCCTCTTTGTCGTCGCTCTGTTAGTACGTCATATGCTTCGTTGATCTGATTGGTTTATTTGACCCGTCTATCACCAACATAGGCCAATCAGCTAACCAGTATTTTCGCCCCTTCCCAAAATTACTTCAACGGAAGGTTTCCAGATGGATATGCGGAGCAAATCCATCTGGCGGAGTCAGGTTACTTTTCCACGTTTGTCTCATCAAATCAATGCTGCATCTTTGAAAAGAATGAATAAAGTAAAGCTAACAGACATTTTTAGTATCATCATAAAAATGAATCTGAAATTAAACCGATTAGGGTTTTCTACCCAAGCTAAAAAAATAATACTGATAAACTTCATAATCTATTTTGTGCCTTTTAGGTTAAGAAGAGCAAAGATGTTTTTCTTTCTTTCCTTAAACTAAGCATCTCAGTCGGACCTAGTTTTGTTCCCTAGTGGTGATGAGCACACAGATGAAGACTTTAGGCACATCATTAGGATTTAAGTTGGTCAACATTTATACAAAATATGTGTGAATATAATCCGATTTGATGTACAGAGAGTTAATTTCTTTCTTTTAAAGCAAAGAACATTTTAGTACCTAATCCAGCTTCCTGCACCTCCAGAGCAACACCTTTGACAGATGGTTTGTGGATTCATCTACCAAGTGAATAAATCCCCGTCTTAAAATTCATTTCAGAGATGACCCTAACAGTCTCATTAAGATTCAGACGGCCGAATACATGACTCTCCAAAATACAGACCAATGACCGAGGAGT